ATTCTGTAACTCGTATAGTTAGACGAGAAAATGTATAAATAAGTGAGAAAATGTTGTTAATAAAGGGTGTGCGTGTATAAGAAGTGAGAAAGACTTGGCTGAATCATGCTCCTCAAATCACCTATTTTAATTAAAGAAACATAAGTGATGGTTACGCGAACCCCTGTTGGCATTAGCGACAGACTCGCCATTTGCCCGTCACAGAACGTTCAAGGTACTTATAACTGGTGCTTACTACTTGAACACCGACTTACATGTTGCAGGGAACAGGACTTATAGCCAGAAGCCTTCTTGGGATAAGTACCACCAGACCGGTTTATTACTGGATTGGGATAAGTCTAGGGCAGGGATCTGCATGAAAGACACCAGATATTAGGGGAAGGATTACCAAACCTGCTTATCAAAAGCAGACACCTCATATACCTTGCAACTTCTGGCGATCATTGTAACACCAACCGGACGATCGTTGCACCACGACACCTTTTCTGGAGATCACAATCCCAATATCCTACTGGATCAGCATGCGAATGACTTCTTATGGGAAACAGGGCTTAACAGGTTATGGCCCCAGATACCATTTTTAATTCGGTTCAACCACCTTTACCTGGGGTTGAACTGGTATCTTGTGATCTGACCTGTGAAGTATTAATCACTACACTATGGACCCACAGGTCGCATAACATTTATTATATTATTATTTTTCCTTTATTTTATATTTATAATATGTTATAATGATATAATAATAAGTCAGTTGTTAACTCTAACAGAAATTTGTATAATTGTTAATAAGTAAATAAATAAAAGTATGATTTTAAGTATTTTTTTATTTGATCAAGTCTTTATTAATTTTTTATATAACTATTATTTCTTTGATTTACTTTATTTTTATATATTATATATATATTTTTTCTTTATATTTGATTATAATAACTTGGGCATAATATAATAAGTACTAATATAGTGATATGATTAAAGTCAAACAATATAATTCTTTTTTATAATTCTTTTTGTTTTTTTTTTATTATATTACAATATATTTCTATTTATATATATTTATAGATTATTTATATAACAAATAATAACTATTTAAATAAAAAATTTTTATATTTATAATAATTTAAATTATATTTTTGTCTTTGAATTAATAAAATAATCATTTTTTTTAAACTTGTATTTTTTTGTAGTTTCCTTTCTTGATTAAATACAACTTATTATTTAATCTATTATAATATATTTAAACTTTTACAAGTATCTTGATAGTATTTCAGATTAAAATTGTTATAAAATGATTCAGATTATAATTTACCTTATGAATTTTAATTTTTCTATTTTTGCTTTTCAAAACTTTAAATTAGCTTTGTTTAGAAATATTTTTTTTTTAGTTTTATTTTTTTATTTGTGTTATTAATTTGTGTTATGTTTTTTTTATAATAAAAACATTATTATACTGGTTGTTTTGTAGTTTCTGTTTAATTAATTGTTTTTAAATATGATTTTATTATATTATTTTGTAAAAAAATTAAAATTGCTAATTTTGATTTTAATGTTTATTTTTTACTATATTGTTATATTTTAGTTTTTTATATCTTATTAGATATTTTTAAAGAATATATTTGTTACTTGTTGTATTAATTTTTTTGTTGCTGAAAGGTTATATTAATAAAATTAATTTTTTCTGTATTTTTTTTTTGATATTTTATGGTATGCTCTAATATTGAAAATGTTTATTTGAATTTTTAGAGTTTTCGATATAGCTGGATATCTTTTTTTGTTTAATTCTGTAAATTTTCAAAGAAGAAAATTTTTAAGATTTTGATATTTATAAAAAAAGGTTTTTTTTTTACTAATAATATAAACTATTGTATACTAATAAAATAATTATCAAAAACAGATATTCTTTGTTAAAAATCAATAAGCTTATGGAGTATTTTGTAAGAGCCAAATATTTTTCAAAAATTGATTTGTATTCAATGATCATTAAATCTGTATCAAGGGAAAAAACATTTCCCAAACAACTTTTAGAATATACTATAGGCACTATGAATTTTTTGTCTTACTATTTGGTCTTATTAATATTTCTGTAATATTTACAATTCTAATAAATATTTTCTATGATTACCTAAACAAATTTGTAATTATATATTTGAATAATATACTTATATACAGCAAAACAAAAGAAAAACACTTGCAATATGTTCTAACTGTTCTACAAACTTTAAGGGAGCATTAGCAAGAAGTGTGTGAAATATACAGAACATTTTGAAGAGTTATAGTAAATTTCAGAAAAATTGACATCATTCAAAATTGGTCATCTACTAATGTATCTGAATTGAAATCTTGTCAATTACTACAAGAAATTTGTTACAGAATTTTTTTCTATTCTATTTTCACTTACCACTCTTCAATTATATACTGTAGTCAAGTTTTTCGCAATATTTTTTATTTCTCGTGACCGGGTAACGTGAGATAATCGCGTCTCATGAATGTGTTATATGCTATTATATATGTAAATAATATTTGTTGTATTAATATTTTTGAGTACACGATATATAAATTTGGTTATTAGATCTGAGCACTTGCAACATACTACATTTTTTCAAATTGAGTACAGTAATAGTAAAACATCTAAGACGTGTTTATTTTTAATAATAGAAATTTTTTTCGCAATAAATACATTATTTGGTATGGGTAGTTATATGAATAATAAATTAGAAGCATCCCTCATTAACGCGTTCGCTATTTAGCCAGAGAACGCGGTATATACAGTAAAACAATTTTTATGTGAATTTGTAGAAAACAATAAAATTTTATTAATATTTGGTTCGTTTAATATACAGTATATATAAAGTATCTAGAAGGAGCTAAAGCGTACTGTTTTCATTTCGGAATGTTAAAATATGAGGGTAATTACGTAATAGATGGCGACATTATGATTTTAAGTTCTCAGTCAATTTCAAAACGTTTATTAGTTAGCCATGATTTTTCAGTGAACTCAAATAAAGCACGAAAATTCAAGATTTTTAGGCACGAATTTTCATGCGAATACGCCTAAAAACAAAGATACCCCTGCATTGCAGACTGATGCTTAATAAGAAAGGACAATAAAGTATTCATATACAACATAACGATGTGAATGTGTCTCACGCATGTTGCTAATGAAAACCTGTGTACGAACTTATTCATCGTTGGAAAGTACCGTATACTTACTACTCTTTTCATACCAATTTCTTGATAATTTATTATAGCCAATTAGCGTGTTTAATACTTTTATTAATATATGTTTTTTAAAGTATTAGAAGAATAACGAGTAAGTACATTCAAAGAAGAAAATAATCTTTCTAACCAATTACTGTATCTCGTTTACTAGGCCGTTAGGTCACCGTAACTGTAATTTCTTGTATCGCGACTTACATGTTTTACGAGAACGTATTCAGGTTATTGACTGGGCGTTAGGATGTTCTGCAAATAAAGTTTTATCACACGATATAGTGCCTGTCGATCGTCTTTTATTCAGTCCAATTACGGAAACCTTACTTGTTACAAAACTTGTCCTTGTGTTAGATCTTCGGCAAATTATGGACCCGATAAAATATTTTTGGGACATTTATTATAGGCCAGGGAAACTAAGGAACGAATAAAATTACAGAACAATACTTTAGGTATGGTATACGCATCGTTTGTGATACATCATTTAAATCTAATTCCATATATAAAATAATAATTAAATATTACAAGAATAAGTTACGCAAGGATTATTTGTTTTTTTTTTTTTGATACCAAAGGTGATAGGAACAGAATCGAAGAATGATGAAAAAGATAATGATCTTTGAATAAGTCGCAGATAATTTTTTTTTTTTTAGAGAATTTCACAGCTTTCTTTAATACCGACAAAATGTAACACAAACACTGTTTAGGAATATAAATTACTGTACTTGGTTTTTTCTTTTTAAATCATCTCTATTTTTTTGTGAAAATGAGCTTGTTCGCTCATATTGACATTTCATCAATTGTAGTCCTCTTCCTAATAGCTTATGTTTCACATTACTATTATAAATATTTTACCCGCGAGAGTCCTCTCCCGGGCCCGATTCCTCTACCGCTTGTAGGAAATGTCCTTACGATTGCCCGTGATATCTCTATCTGGCCTTCAGAATTACAATCCAAGTATGGGGACTTTTTTGAAGTTTACATGGGTCCCAATCGCAAGATTTGGGTATGCAATGAAGAACTAGCTCAAGTTATTTTAAAGCCAGTTGCTCGTGGTAATTTTCATAATCGAATTGATAAAGATTGCGATATCAACGAGATTGGATTAGTCAACTTTGGATTGGCGTTAAATACAGACTATGATAATTGGGCGTTCATTCGGAAATTTTATTCGAAAGCCATTTTCACACCAGCCTTTATGAAACAAGCTTTAGTTAAAACAGAGGATGTATTTCGGAAGATGGAAAGCTATTGGATGAGAATGGGCGAAGATACTGTGCTGGATCTATCTAGTTGGATAAAAAATTTTATGCTGGATGCAACTTATCTACTTACCACAGGTCAATCCATGGATACAATAACCAATTATTATAACATGCTTTCCCCTGATAAAGATACCGATATTCCCAGTAACGTGTTAAAAGAAAATGCCTATGTATCTAAATGCTCGGCCGAATTCTTGGATGCCATACTATGGTTTATGATGGTCCCAAAATTTGTTCGAGATTTTCCAGGAGTTAACTCATACACAAAAAGACTAAAGAAGCAAGTTGGATGGTTAAGGAATCGTCTTCTTAAAATTGTTAAGACTCGAAGAGAAGAAATCCAAAGAACTCCTGAAAGCGAAATGTTAACCCCAGATCTTTTAACAATGTTTTTAACGGTCAACACACCACGTGACATTACCGAGGGAATTGCGGATGATGTAAATAGCCGACCAATGACTGATGAAGAGATTGCTCCAAATTTTATGGAGATCTCACTTTCTGCAGTTTATTCGGTATAATATTGATGCACTTTAAACTTGCACAAATTTAACAGGATATTTTCAAATATTGATATTTAAATTTTAATTCAGTCAACAGATGTATTGTGCAATTTATTTCATACGATATCTCGACGTCCTGAAGTGAAGAAACGTATAATTAAGGAACTTGATGAAGTTTTTGGAAAAGACTCAAATGCTCAGATAACGTATGAAGGCCTTAACAAGTTAGTTTATTGTGATGCCCTTTTGAATGAAGGTACGAACGCGGTTTTTGGTTAAAAAAAAAAATTCTTTTTTCCATTTTTTAATTATAATTATTGCTGGTGCTATTCTAAAGTTGCCAGGGTGTCGTCAGTTTCGCCATTTATTGTTAAGAAAAACGAGAAACCCGATCAGATCGGTGGTTACGCATTTCCAGAAAAAACTGAATTCTTTATAAATCTTATTGCAATTCGTAAACACAAATCTAAATGGACGGATCCTGAAGTATTTAATCCAGACAGATTTTTAGACGAATCTCATCCTGATTATGGTAAAGACGTTTATCTATTTGGTAGCGGATTAAGAAAATGTAAGTCATTGACTTTTTAAAACGCGTACATTAAAAAAAGAAAATCAAAATTAATCATTTTTTTTTTGTCGCGCAGGTCCCGGAAGAAACTTGGCAAAGATTCAACTAAAAGCTACGATCGCTTTGTTTTATAAAAAGTATGACCTTGAACTGATATATAAGAATGCTCCATTAAAGTATAACAGAGCATTGATAAGAGAATGTATTGATTTTAAAGTAAGAGTTCAGAAACGAGGAGAATAAAATACAGTAAATCCAGATGTTTGTTTTTAATTCAAATTGCAGTTCCGTAGTACTTTTATCACTATAAATACTAAATAAACAAACTTTGATCTCTTGCAATAAAATACATTTACGTATGATGTGGTTGATGAATTAGAAATATTAAGAAATTATAACATTGCAGTATGATGTATTTGAACTCAATAATATCATTGTTAATATTTGATGTTTTCCAATAAAATTTATGCTCAGATTTTACGATTGAGTTTCAATATATCATTTTATTAAAACAAATTTTTATCTTAAACATCTTAAGATCGTTAACAAATAAAATTACTCTAATAAATACTGGTATTATAATCAATGCAATTATAATAATATAATAATTATCTGATTAATAATACAATATTTATTGACAAATAAGAATATAATATATTTGAATATATAGACTGAACTGTACTTTATTTTAACCAATTTCAATTAACAATTTTCTCTCCTATAATTGGTTTTAGTCTAATTAGATAAAGAAAATTCAAAAATATCTCAAACCAGTTTTATTAATATACCTTGTTTAAATATAAGCTGAACTAATAGATTGGGTAATTTAAAACTAGTGTAGAATTTACATTCCTTAAATAGGTTCTTCTGAAAAATATAATTTATTTTAAAAATATATACTATATTATTAGATCTAAAATAAATAAAAGTAGCAGCAAAAAAAAAAACTCTCTCCTGATCACGTCCGTTTTGTTAAAAATTTTCCTTTTATGGTAATTTTAAGCAAGAAAAAA